TAAAACAAAATACACTGCCCCATACAGATTCAGATTTCGCATGGAGCCCGACAAAGACATCTGGCTTTCACCCCACGTGTGACTCATCAGCTCCACTGACAAAATGACGATTAAACGGCCTGGCGATGGGCCTGGCAGAAGGAGTCCAGGAAGTCCAAATACCTCCGACATTGGGCTGAAAGGAGCACGGTTTCCTTCTTCAGGGCGCTGCTGCTTTGACACAACAGCTGTGGAACCCCGCGGCTACCCATACGCAGATCGACTTCTGGCCTTTTTTTTGTCGAGCTCATCGCGCTGACTCCAAGACAAGAGGTCCTCACGGACGGGTGAATCTGGCTACACTGCACCTGCATTTGTGTTGACAGCTGTGCCTGGGAACTGTCACTGCAAGTTCGACTGGGCGCACACTTGCTTCTTCTTCTTGCTGTCGAGAAAGGCAGCGAAGCGCACTTCTCGCTGGCGATCTCGCTCTGATGCGGACATGGGCGACAGGGAGCGCCTCCCACGGACTTGTGTCAACGGCGTGCATGGCGTTGAGCTAGTGGGCATCGCGGGCATCGGCGAAGCTTTGTCTGCAGCAGGGCAGCTTGGCAACGGATGCTCGACGTTGGGCTTGGAGCGGCCTGGTCGGCTCGGGCTACCTGCTGCAGCTGCCTTCAGCAATCCAGCTTTGCCCAAAGTCAGTCCGAGCTCACGGGAAATTTCAGTCACCGACATTGCCTGTAACGTTTCTATGGTGACTTCACCTTCTGCCAGGGCTCTCAAGGTGCTCTGGCTGCGGATCCCAGTGGCTTGGCAAAGCTGGGCAATGTCCGGATCCAGGATGAAGTCAGCGGCTGTTGTTGGAGCATCTTTGCACCGCTGCGGCACTTCCGTGCGCCGGGGCATCCCATGGCAAGACGAAGGGCCTGCGTTCACCGTGCGAGGGCCGCTTTCCTCGTCGTTCATCGTCTCCTGGGCGGGCATTGGGGGGATTGCTTGCGTGACGAGAGGCGTTTTGTCATCTGCCTTGCCCAGAATTGCGCACAAGTAAAGAAACGTGCCTGGCTGAAACCTAGAAAGCCGTGAAAAACATGGGAACGGCTTGACCTAGTTTTACTCGAATTTTGTGAGTTGGCCAAGCTGCACTTGGGCAAAAGAAGGCTTGGGATTTTGTTATATATGACCCGTTGAGCCATGGCGCGCAAGCTACGACCAGAATGCAGCAGGCTAGCGTAACAGCAGGTGTCTGCACTCAACACGGGAGCTGAGTGGTGGGGCGCACAAAGTGGAAGCGCGTGTAAGTGCGATTCGCCTCTGCGTGAAGCTTATGGGGAAAGAAGCTCGTGGAAGCCGACACGTAAGCGGACATGTAAAGCTGAGGAAGCGCGCGTGCGGAGATGGCAGTCAGCGGAAAGGGACATGTCAAAGCGCGGCAGCAAAAATGCATTGTGGAAGCGGGGTGTGGAAGAACACTGGAAACTATCAGCCTCCGTTTCTCTCACCACGGGAAATTCAATGTAGGAACCTTTTGTCATATGACACGTTGAGCCATGGCGTGCAAGCTACGAGGCGTGCAAGCTACGAGCAGAATGCAGCAGGCTAGCGCAACAGCAGGTGTCTGTGCTCAACAGGGGAGGTGAGTGGCGAATGTGTCCTGAGGTGCACAAAGTGGAAGCGGGAGTGGAAGTTGGCAGTCAGTGGAAGCACGCGTGTCAAAGCACGGCAGCAAAAATGCATTGTGGAAGCGGGGTGTGAAAGCACGCTGCACAAACGCTTGCGTCGATGGCTACGCGGTCATCGACTAGACTCGCTGCAGCGCCGAGTGCGCCAGGGATGCCACTGGGCGAAAAGCAGGCCAATTGCACCGTGGCAGCCCTGGCGCTCTTGGCGCTGCGGCGAATCTTGTCGATGACCGTGCAGCCGTCGACACAAGCGTTGCTTCAGCGTGCTTCCACACCCCACTGCCGCGATGCACTTTTGCTGCCGCGCATTGACGTGTCCGCTTCCACTACGAACTACGAGAAGCTCCTAGACACAGCACAGAGCGAAGGGCTTTTGGCTTCGTCGACTTCGTGCACGCGAGGCCACCTGCTTGCACAGTGCTCTCCTGTGCTTTAACTGGAAGGAGTCGAGCACGTATGGCCCATGTGAGCACATGTGCGCGGCGCTGATCTGCAACGGCGAGCCGACCATGGAGCGCCGAGTGTGCCAGTGCAATTGGCCTGCGTATCTGCTCAAGCGACCTGGACCCCCCCCCCCCACATAATGCAGTTAGCTGTGCTTCAATCTTTTGTTGGGACCAAGGCCTTTTGCGATTCGCTTTACATGTGCCTCGCGCGTGCAAATATGAGTGTCGCCCGCTCCTCCATGATCAGCTCGCCGTTGCAGATCAGCGCCGCGTACATGTGCTCACATGGGCCATACGTGCCCGACTCCTTGCAGTTGAAGCACAGGCCAGCACTGTGCAAGCTGGTGGGCTCGCGTGCGCCAAGTCGACGAAGCCGAAAGTCCTTCGCTCTGCGCTGTGTCTAGGAGCTTCGGAGAGCGTGTCCCAAGCCTTCTTTTGGCCTAGTGTAACTCGGTCAACTCACAAAAAATCCAGTATAACTAGGTCAACCTGTTCCCACGGTTTTCACGGCTTTCTAGGCTTCAGCCAGGCAAGATCCTACACTCGCGTGCAGTTCTGCAAACATACTAATTTCATGACTCTTACATTGGGCAAGACCTGTTATTCTTCACGCCGAATTATTCCTGCACATTTTTGAAATGTCGCCAATGCTGAGCTAGTCGTTGATCCCGTGCCCAGAATGGGCCTTGCAGACATAAATGTTGAAGTGCCCCCGCCCAACTTAGCAAGGAACGTTTGTTGACACACACACACACACATTTCAACATGACATTACTGACTGCCACATTGTCTGTCAAGGTATCTGACCAACGGACACTAAACTGGAGTAGTGCATATGATGCACGTAGCCGAAGTGCTGAAAAAAGTAAAACTGGTCAACATTGACTAGAACTAGGTCATACCGGTTGACCAAGTTAATCTTGGTCAAGGAAGGCCAGGAGTATCACGAAGCGAATGACGTGCTCACGCAGGCACTCAGAACATGTTATTGGGTGAACTTTTGAAACCCGGGCGGTTGCGCTCCTCGACCGCTGGGCCTTGGAGAACAAAGTTCCAGCGGCCCAGCAAAGTCTCCAACAGGTCCCAGTTGGCGATCTTCAGGCCTGCGTGGCGCGTGCGAAGCGACAGTGGTACAGAGGAAACGGCCCTGGACTGGAACATGTGCAGACACGCGTGTGTGGAAGGCCGGGTGTGGCAGCATTCTGGGGTAGCTGAACCTTGCTTGTAAGACCATGCTCATCGACGCGCCTTGTTCAGCCGGCAGGTGCTCTGCGAGGCGCTCTGCGACCCCCAGCGCAACCAAGGCAGCTGCGACTGCGCCCGTTGTGGCTCCGAACAGGCTTGGCACGTGCTGCAGCTGATCTGCAGACAGCGGCTGCGGCACACTTGGCACACAAAGCCGTTGCCTTCGCCCTCGCGTGGTTTCCACAGCGACGCAGGGACTGCTGTCCACGTGCTGTCTCCTGCTGCCAAAGTCTGGCACAAGCCGCTCTGCGCCAGCTCGTGCCCAGAGCTTCGACCTGCACGTGGCAATGCTTGGGTACAGGGAGACTCTACTGTGTAGACTCGCGCTACCCGAAAAACACGTCAGGTCAATGGGAACTTTGCATCCCAGCTTCCCCCGAACTCTCTTGTCAGTGCCCACCTGAAGATTCTTTCTCCATGAATTTCCTGCTAGTTCTCGTCTTTAACTTGCTTTGACTAAATCCCGGCGATGTTTTCGTGCAGTCGCTGAAAACCACTAAACCTGCCGTATCTTATCGATTCGGCACGTGAGATTCCAGAATTAGTCCCTTTTTACGTTTGCCCCAACCCCGTCCTTCTGCATTCAGCTTGCCCTTCAAGGCAAACATGTCGAGCTTGGTGCCCATCACTGCGCAATGTGAGCTTGTGGGCCAAAGGTTGAGACTGGTGGTGTCGTTCTGCAGGCCTATCAGGCGACTGGCCGTCATATCCCGGAGATCTTGCACCAAGGAGGCGGGACTCTGGTAGGTCTGCGGCACGTGCTGCTGCAACACAGCCGAATGCCAGCTCTCTTGCGGAGAGGTCCCACATCCGCTGCCGGATAGTATCCTGTCAATGCCGTTCCGCCACGCAGCATCTACCAACGTGGGCTGCAGGGTGTAAGTGTAGTTCTTCGTCAGCACGTCTGCCACTTGCTGCCCGGTGCGACCTGCTCATTTGGGAGCGGGACCAACACGAAATTGCCCTTAACGGTGAATCTTCCAAGTTTTGATGCGGGGCTTTGGGGGGGCTTACAACATAGCTCAACGCGGGCCGCCATTTTTTTCCCGAAAGATCATCCCCTCCACAAAAACCCATACTTGCCGTTGGTAAGTTGAGGGAGTCGGCCGAGAAGTGCCACGCCTACTTCTTCCACCAAGCGCTGCCGGAGATGCTCCCAAAGCAAGCTGAACAGCGTGACCGTGGGGCAGGTGTGCAGCAGATGCATCCAACGGACCATGAACCGCAGCGCCTTGCCATCGCCCACGTTCTGCAGGCGCCGGCGCAGAGTGGCGAAGATCCCCTTTCGTCCAGCAGTTGTCGCTCCCGAGACGTGTGCCCAATCCCACACCATCTGGGCTGCGGGGAAGACGGCACGCTGCGCTAGGGCAATGCCAGGATGTTGGTCCGCGTGGAATTGCTGGACAGTTTCCGGCGACAGTGGCAAGTGCAGCGTGTTGCAAACATCCACAAGGTCTCGGAAGAGCTTGCTGTAGCCGATCTTGCCGTTCTCGGTGGGACACAGCGCGTAGGCAAGCTCGTTGAAGCAGCTGCGATACTTCCAGACACCTTTGCTTCTCGCCCAGTGCTTGGTAAGCACTCCAACCGTCAACAAGACCTGCCTGTTGACCAGCATGCGCCACTTGCCATCAGTGCACAGCACAAGCTACTGCTTGCAAGTCAGCTTGAGCAGCGTGTCGCTGACTTGCTTGGGGCTCAGCAAAACCACGCACGTTTCCTTCCCTGCGACATGCGGCGAGATGGCTCGAAGCCGAGGGTCATCGCGAGTTACTTCGGTGGCCGAGCACGGGGCACATGTTGCAGCGAGAAAGGTCCAATCCGAGTCACGCCACACTCGTGTTGTCGGCTGTTGCTCATCCGCCTCATCCGCCTCGTGTTGTCGAAGCTGGCGCCGCAGCTTGCCGAGCGCGCCCCGCAGCTGCTTGTCCTTGAAGCGCGGGCTGGCTGCGACACGGAGCCTGAAGCCGTGCGGCGTTCTGCGTGGGCTTAGCAAGGCAACGCGAGTCTGGCCATGTGTTTTCCGGGCAGCGACTGAGCTTCGCATGGTCTTCCTCTGAGATGTTGTCCACAAACCTCGCGCTCTCTTCTCCACCTTCCCATGTGCATCTGGGGGCAGCGACCCAACTCGAGCAGTGTGATCTTCGATCAAGTAGTGCACCCACGCCATCCAGGGACAGCGGCCACCTCCCTCCTGCTCGTGGCTTGCGCAGAAGACCGTGCGCTTCTGCGCCCTAGACCACACCGTCAAGCCAAACTTCTCCAAGAACTCCGTCTTGATGAAGCGGTCGAGCTGCTCTTGATTCGTCAGCCGCGCGCCGCTGGTCCAGGTGGCAAGACGCCTGCGAGGCAGCCGTAGCTGTGCGGGCGGGGCTGGAACTATTGCAGCTTGGCTGCCGTGCTCGTGCTGGGGCAAAGACCAAAGAGCAAACCGGTGCGTCGCCTCATCCAGCACGATCGTAGGACACCACGTGCAAGACGGCCGACATGACAAGCACCGCACGCGAAAACGTGCGGCACTTCTTTGCTCCACCCTTGCCCTCAAGGGCTTGCCGTGCGCGGTCAGCTGCCATCCAAGCCAGTTCTGTAGAAATGGCACAGTTTCCTCTGGAGACACCGGGTACTCGATCCAGGCCAGGAGCTCGTAAGCTAAGTCCCCGCCTTGCTTCCCGGGTCGCGGAAGATCCGCCGCACTTCCAGCTGCCATGCGGCAGTTCGCACGAGTCAGATCGACATGAGAGGCCCGCGCGTCGCGACACTCATTGCACTGGTTTGCTACACAACATACAGCGTGGAAGCGAAAGTCTCTGCCTCGAGCATTGCGACCCGTATCTTCCAATGCAAATGCGAATCCGACTTGCACATCACGAGTGGTGTTGCGTGCTGAGGCTCTCTACATTAGTCTCCTCAGATTTCAAGCACTTTCTCTTGGCTGCAGTGGATTGTCTTGATCTGCGAAAAGGCACTGCAAAAGATTCCCGGACCTTCATTTGAATGCATCACACATGATCGACGCTTGTATACAGCCTTGTCCGTATTTTCCCCATTGTCATCATTTTCCCCTGTATGCTGGAGCCAGCACACTCACGCTCATTCCTTGTGGCAACCCTGTGACACAGCAGCCCTGTGACACAGCACACTCACCAATTTGCACCTGGAACGCCTTCAACAAGGTATCTTCTCAGCCAAAACACCCCAATGCGCTTCTGATTCTGGCAGCTCAATAGCTCCACAACTCCCTGCTTATTCTGCGACACGATTGCTTCCCCATTGCTTCCCTGCTAGGGGTCGAAACGGTCCGCAAAATGCAAATCCGAACAGGCATCAGTGCAGGATGTCCTAACAAGTTCTGGGCTCGCAATTCCACAGACACTGGGTGACATTTCACGGAGCCTCTCTCCGAAACTCGCCGCACAGGCGCGCCTCGACACTCTCCGCACCTGCGTCGCCTGTTGCTCCGGCCTGCGCATGGCAGCTCTGGCCCGTCTCCCTTGCACATTGCGAGCCACACATTTCCACACTTGCGCACATCGGTGTGACAGCACGGAGAACGTGCAACAATAGGAGAGCGGGAAAGTATTTGATGGAGGTGTGGAATCGGACGAGCTACTTGGTGTGTGGTGGCGCTGTGGAAGTGGAAGGTTGCAAGCGGAACTCTGGCCTTGCGCAAGTGGAACTCTGGCCTTTCGCCCAAAACCGACCTGTCGATGGGCACGCGGCCATCGACAAAAGCGCAAGTGATTTCCACACGCCATGTCAGTGGAAGTAGCAGGGTGCAAGCGTGGAATTGTGGAAATATGGAAGTGTGACAATGTGGAAATATGGAATTGTACACCTGCACCTTGCTACTTCCACTGACATGACGTGTGGAAATCGCTCCCGCTGTTGTCGATTGCCGCGCACCCATCGACAGGTCGGTTTAGGCCAGAAGTCCACTTTCAACCTTCCACTTCCCACATCCAGAGCACCACCAAACACCAACTCACTGTAGAACTTCCCAACATGAAATTCATAAATTTGGAGGAGTCTGCAATGTTGAACAACAACGCCACGTGCTCTAGATCGACAAAAGCGCGAGCGATTTCCACGCGCCGTGTGAGCTTGGTAATGTGGAGCTTCGGAAGTATGAGCGGGCGAAACTGTGAAAATGTGGAAGTGTCGTAGAAGTATGGAAGTGGAGGGGTAGTATGGACTCCACATGCCAATGGAAGTGGAAGCGCGCGAGTGGAAATGCGCCAGAGAGAGATAGCGCGAGTGGAAGAGAAAGAGAAAGAGAAAGAGAAAGATAAAGAGACAGAGAGAGAGAGAGAGAGAGAGAGAGAGAGAGAGAGAGAGAGAGAGAGAGAGGGAGAGACAGACAGAGAGAGAGAGAGAGAAAGAGAGAGAGAGAGAGAGAAAGAAGGAAAGAGAGAGAAGCGAGAGAAAGAGAGAGAGAGAGAAAGATAAAGATAAAAGTAAAGAGAGAGAAGCAGTTAATATGAATAACATCATAGAGACACCACAACATTATTGCATCACCTTTCTCACAATCGCTTTCGGGATAATCGGTGTCTAGTTTCATTTACTTCCACACTTCCACACTTCCAGACCTCCAGATTTCCACACTACCACACTTCCGTATTTCCACCCCTTCCACACTTGCACACTTTCACCGTTGTATTTACTTACACCCTGACACACTTACACACGTCCACACGTTGACACTTCCACACTTGTATTTACTTCCACACTTCGACACTTCCACGCTGCCAACTTCTTCCACCGTGCAAGTGGAAGCATAGCAAACGTGGACAGGTGGACATGTGGATTTGTGGATTTTTAGTAGTGTGAAAATGTGGCTGTGGCAAGTGTGGATGCGTGGAAGTGTCGAATTGTGGAACTGTGGAAGTGTGGACGTATGGAAGTATGGACAGATGGAAGCGTGCGAGTGTAGGACATGTGCAAACATGGAAGTATGGAAGCGTGGGAGTGTGAAAGTGTCAAAGCGCGCGAATGTGGAAATGTGCAAGTCTGCTAATTGCCTTACCTCGCTTTCACCCCGCGTGTGACTCGTCAACTCCTCTGACAAAATGACGATTGAACGGCCTGCGCTACGCCTAGAAGAAGGTCCAGGAAGTCCAAATACCTCCGGCCAAAAAAGATCGCTGCTGGCGTACAAGTAGTAGCTTCTGAGTTTACATGTCAGCGTCGCACAATTCATGAAAGGCCGTCAAAGCCGAAGCTACCCCCTTCGGTGTTTTGGCCACCTTCACTTTACTGGGTAAAGTGGAGTACAAAACCCTTCTCCGGTGGCTGGATATCCCATCCAAATCCTGGGGGTGGCTTCGGTTTGGGGGTGGACACCTGCACCAAGGCCTCCGTCCATCTGCGAGAGCAGCACAGAGCTGCCTGCGTGTGAAAGCTGCGCCCTGGCGATACGCCTGGCAGAAGGAGTCCAGGAAGTCCAAATACCTCCGACAAAAAAAGATCGCTGCTGGCATACAAGTAGCTTCGCAGTTTACATATCGAAGACATGCATTTGCGGACGGCCCCCATATGTATGAAGGTCTGGAATGGCCAACAGCCAAAAAGCAATGGTGAAATTGTTTCACCACGCCACCTCAACTCCAGCTCTCTCTGTCGATGGGCACGCGATTTCCACACGCCATGTGAGTAGAAGTAGCTGGGTGCAAGTGTGGAATTGTGGAAATATGGAAGTGTGAAAATGTGGAGCTATGGAATTTGTAGAAGTTTGGAAATGTGGATATCTGGATGTATGAGAGGGTGAATCTGTGCGGAAGTGTGCAAGTATCGTAGGCCTGCGCAAGTGTGGAACGGTAAATGTGGAAAACACAAAATGCTGCTAAGTAGCACTCTGGAAGTATGGAAGTGGAGGGGCAGTATGGACCGTCCCCGAAACAGCCTGTCGATCGGCTATTGACTGAAGCGTGATCGATTTCTTCGTGCCGTGCACTTGGAAGTTGAAAGGCGCAAGTGGAAGTCTGGCCTGCCGCCCAAAACCGACCTGTCGATGAGCGCGCGGCCATCGACAATGGCGCGAGCGATTTCCACAGTCGAAGTGCGGAAGTACGGAAGTGTGGAGGTGTTTCAGTGTGGATGCGTGGTAGCATCGAAGTATGGAAGTCTGGAAGTTCGACCGTGGAGTGCAGGTAAGCGTGGAGCCGTGGAAGCGTGAAGATGGCGAAGCGGGACGATGGGTGGAGCCGGGCCAGTTGGAGCTGAAGAATGACGCCGAAGAAGCGTGTGGTCAGAGAAGTGTGGAGATGGGAAAGCGTGGGGCCGGGCGAACGTGGAGCTGGGAAGCGTGGAGCTGCGGGACCGTGGAGATGGCGAAGCGTGGAGAGGCAGGGAAGCGTGGAGCCAGGAGAAGTGTACAAGTCTGGAAGTGTGGAGCAGTGGCAGAGTGGGAATGTGGAGTGTTGGAGTCTGGAAGTGTCGAAATCTGGGGGTGTGGAAGTGTCGAAACGTGGAAATGTAGAAATGTAACAATATGGAAACATGGAAGTGTGCAATATGGAGGTGGAATCGTGGCCGTGTGGAACGATGCAAGTGTGGAAATGTGGAGATATGGAAGTCTGTAAGTGTGCAAATATGGAAGTGTGGAAGTCTGGAAGTCTGAATGTGTCGAAGTGTGGAAATGTTGAGATGTGTCAGTGTGGAAATAAAAAATGTGGAAGTGTCGAAATGTTTGTGGGAGTTATCCAATATTACTTTTCCTGAAAAACCTCCCGTCGCCGGCCTGTCGCGCTCCAATCGCGACCACAGAGGGGCCAATCGCGGAGCAAACTTGGTAACTTCTTCCTATCTTACTAGCAAACATGCAGATGTGACCCCAATCGCGGCCCAACCGCCGGCCTTTCGCGATGCAGGTTTGACCCATTGCGCACAACTAACAAGTTACCCGAACACATAGATCGAAGGAGAGCGCGCTCGCCAGCTGAAGCCAGGATTCCCTTGCGGGCATGTGGCTTCAGATGTCTATTTATATATATATATATAGATATGTGTATGTTTTCTCCCGACCCGGCCTGCGCGTCAGAGATTGCTGCATTTCTCCTGCGGCCAAAGTGCTCGTCATTAACATTTTGTGGTGGCAAAGCAATGCTGCGTCACCTTTTCCGGAAAATCCTTCGCTTTACTGGGATATACACCCACTACGTGATGGGTAAACTGGGGTAGAAAAAACCCTTATATATGGTGGCTGTGTATCCCATTCAAATCCTGGGGGTGGCTTCGGTTTGGAGGTGGACACCAGCACCAAGGCCTCCGTCAATCTGCGAGACCAGCACAAAGCTGGCCCCGTGTTGGCTGTTTAGGCCACCTTCACTTTACTGGGATATACACCCACTACGTGATGGGTAAACTGGGTAAAGCCTTAGATAATATCTTTATATTATAATATCAATATATATATTATATTATTATAATAATTATATATCTTAATTTTTATTCAATATTTTTTAATGCTCCGAGCCCAGGTTGTGTCATATCAATTTATTGTATAATGTTATATTTATTAACTATTATTTTATATATTATTATATAAATAATTATATATAATTAATATCATATTTTTATATATAATATTATTATTTTATAATATATATATAATATATATGGTGGCTGTGTATCCCATTCAAATCCTGGGGGTGGCTTCGGTTTTGAGGTGGACACCAGCACCAAGGCCTCCGTCAATCTGCGAAACCA